CAAAAGAAGAAAAGGAAAAAATTATATGAAGACAATTACATGGAGTCAGAAATAGAAAGACAATAATTTCATGGAGTCAAAGAATAGAAAGACAATTTCATGGAGTCAGGAATACGTGGTTGATTTTATAGACATGCATGCACAAATGATTGATAGACGAGAAGGTTGGAGTTTATGGCAGATAATAAAGATATAACGTGGATATTCACAAGGTAAGTATATCAATGGCAGAAAGAGATTTTCGGAAGGGACCAGGGACACCTATCACTCTAAAATCAGAGGGGAGAGCGTTCCAAAGAATGCTTCCCCGAAACATTCTAGTCGATCGTCCCGCAGGCCCACGAAGAAAGGGAACTTGAAGCAAGTTCGACACTTGTCCCCGTCTGGCGCGCTGATCCTCCGGAACAGTCCCTGGGGCCGATCGGGTGAATAATTGTTGAAGAAGGGGGCTACAGGAGGAGTTAATGCATCGATGAACAAATACGACTATGTTGTGTACACTCATACCTCGGTTATCCGGACTTCGAAGTTACGGGCACTTCGGTCTACCGGGCACTATTTGGGCGAGTTTCAGGGGAAATATTACTACTCTTTTGTCACTTTTCGTAGAAATATTGACGTCATATGACATATCGATGGCCTTTTCCCCATCAAGATGCATATGATTCGGAGTTACGGGCACCCTCGAAGTTAAGGGCAGTGTCCGGTCCCGAAGCGCCCGGATAAGAGAGATATGAGTGTATATGTATGTGGTAGACTAACAATGCTGAGCAGAGAGAGCAGCGGGGCAGTTGGAGTCAAGAGCCGATGTTGCAAGGTTGCACGGATACCAGCCTTGAACATCTTTTCAAGCTGACCAAGCAGGTGTGCGCTAAGTCCTGGGAAGAAACTGTTTGAACCATAACACAGCTGGGAAAGGATCATGCTCAAGAACCACGTTTGCCGGGCAAGCAAACTCAGTCCTCGCCCATGCCTCCAGAGCTGACCAATTGTTCGCGCTGTCTTGCGACCAATATACTCCACATGTGGAGCCCAGGATAAATCATTATCCAGGACTCCAGGAGTCCTAACCAACGTACCGACTACCGCATTTTCGGCACTCAAATTGGTATACCAATTTAGATGCAAGTTGGGTTGGTAGGACATCCTTCCTCACCGTGAACGCACGTACAGTTGTGAAAACGGGTACAAAATGTACCGCGTAGTAAGTTTGCTGTACAATTTTCCGTACCACGCGACTCATGGATAATGAGAGGTTACCTTTCCAGGGGAGAGAAAGATACGTGGGACATTTGTCCGGGCCAAAACGTTTTTCCTTTTTATGCAGCCTTTCGCTCATGAATGCAGGCAGGCACAGTGGGTTGGTCTAAGACCATGATTAATGAACGAGAGGTACCAGGTTCAAGTCCTGCTTGGAAGCGGAAGGATTTTTCCAACCGTGCTGCGACCCACAGTTAATTGGGAACTCGTGGCCTGGCATGAGTAAATCATGGATGTGGCAAATGGGATTTAGGCCTTTGGCCTATGGTTGGTGGATCTGATCTATCCTCCCCCACCGTTTAGGAGCCGCATCTGACGCCTGATCATGGGGTGGTGGCGTCCCACGGAAGCGGAAAGGTGGTTCTTGACCAGGGAGTTGTACGACTCCTTGTTCTTGACCTGCCCGGTACGCGAACCCGTCGAATTTATTTATTTTATTTTTTCGCTCATGAGTTCCTTCAATAGATCGTCGGGGGACCCGTTCTTTAGAAACACGGACTTAAGGAAGTCCAGTTCCTCAGCTAGTTTGGAAGAGGAGCAAATACGCTCTGCTCGATCCACCAAGTTACGCACCAAATTTTAGCGTTATAATTATTGGTTTCTCACCCGCCGTTGCACTTAGCTCTCACTTCACTTCTATTGTCTCACCTTCCCTCATTCTATTTTGGCACTGTATTTTGTTCCCGTAACACATCATTGAATGTATATTTAATCATTGTTCAGCATGGTTACTCTTCAGTCACGACTTTCCACTGACGAATGTGACAAGAAAATTAATTCTGGTAAACTTTCATGACTTCGTTGTAGTGTGGCGATGACTGCAGAATTTGTTCTCTTGATTGCTATTATATTATTATTAATTCTTGTTTTGAAACTCGGATGTTGAGCCATAAATAAATGTAGAAGAGAAAAGGACATATCGATACGAGTTAAGAGTAACTCTCCATCACTGTAACATGATACTATATACAGTCAGAAAGTGCAATAACTAGGCACAAAACTGACAGAGTACTGAAACTTCCCCTCTTTGGTCTTTCCATAACCTTGAACCTTCCAAGTTGGAAGGCTGTCGGTTAGCGCTACGGAGATGTGTTGAAGCTAGGTGTCAGGACGTCGAATGTTTCAGTACTCTGTCAGTTTTGTGCCTAGTTATTGCACTTTCTGACTGTATATAGTATCATGTTACAGTGATGGAGAGTTACTCTTAACTCGCATCGATATGTCCTTTTCTCTTCTACAATTCTTGTTTTACTAGGGAATTCCCAACAGGCGGCGACGCCTTTTTTGTGAGAATCCCGGTTGTTACCAATTGGCAGATGACACCGCTCTGATTTCTATAGCGAGAACTCTTCAAGACTGCACCGGAAACCTACAACAGAGTGTCACACCAGCTGGAGACTGGCGTCAAAGACGGCACCTGCTAGTTAACACAAAGAAGACAGTCATCCTCCCCTTATACCACAATAACCGCCCCCCTGAACAGCTACCCCAGATAACCCTCATGAATAGTCTGCTTACCGTAGCACAAAAACCCAAACACCTCGGAATATTCTTTCAGCATGACCTCCGTTGGACGGAGCATGTTGAATAAATAGTCAAAAAATCACTCAAGCCATACAATATGCTATTTAGACTAAGGTCTACACTCACTAGTGATTCTTCATGTCACATCTATTAGACATAAATACTACTTCAAAAAGTACCTATATTCTCATATGTGAGCAATGCTCTCACACCGTTGTCACACACTTCCCTTGACAGGCTAGAACGACTCCAGCGGAAAGCCGCCAGCGATTGGTCAGCTTTGGCGGCATGCATGTTGTCTGAGCTTGAAGGCCAGGCTAATTTGGTACCTTTCAATGATCCAGTCACAATTAGCCTAATGGTTCCAACTCGTTCCTATCTAGCATATCCATGACCCTTCTTGATCAAGTCCGCACACTCTGCGCGAAGGGTCTACGGACAACCATCCAACATCGTAATCTCGTGCTCACAGCCCCTCTTCTATCCCCCGCCTACTGCAACTGCTAAATCAAATGCTTTTGTTCCTATTTCATCTGTGCCTCCACCACAAAGCTAGTCCCCTGGTTCAGGAGATGCTCACACGCACCGCTCCAGTTGGCGTCCCAAGCAACATCCGGGCAACTCGAAGGCAACAGTCCAATCTGCTACGTGTGCTTTTTCTCTGTGGTCCCATCGACAGACGTTCCATCTGGTTCTTTCTCTCTCTTTCTGTCTCTCTCTCTCTATCTCTCTCTCTCTCGCTCTCTCTCTCTCTCTCTCTCTCTCTCTCTCTCTCTCTCTCTCTCTCTCATCTCTGTGTCCCGCTGTCTCTCTGTCACTCTGTCACTCTGTCTCTCTGTCTCTCTGCCTCTCTGTCTCTCGGTCTGTCTCTCTGTCTCTGTCTCTGTTTGTCTGTCTGTCTGTCTGTCTGTCTGTCTGTCTGTCTGTCTGTCTGTCTGTCTGTCTGTCTGTCTGTCTCTGTCTGTCTCTGTCTGTCTCTGTCTGTCTCTGTCTGTCTCTGTCTGTCTCTGTCTCTCTCTCTCTGTCTCTCTCTGTCTCTTTGTCTCTCTCATCTCATTACAAAAATTCTGCGCATTTTTTCTCCATCTGCGCATAAAATCTAGACTGACAACCTGCTAATTCAATCCTGCACCTGCTTTCAGGCGTAAACATCCTGTTGTAGAGGTCTCAGTCCTCATTTGTTAGACTTACCTGTCTTTATAAATGTAACTTACTCTCTCTCTCTCTCTCTCTCTCTCTCTCTCTCTCTCTCTCTCTCTCTCTCTCTCTCTCGTCAACAAAAACACTGGTCGGAAGATCCACTTTTCTGAGGTACTGTATGTGGGGCTCCGTTTATTGAGGTGCGTTGAAATTTATTCTCTTTATCTTATTATTTCTTTTCTATAATTTCCCCATATGAGTTCCTATCAGTTGCTGTGAACATCTTGAGTGGAGAGCGCTTGCTCGAGCGTTGAACCGGGTTCTTAATCCACCATACCCAGTTCGCAAGGCTGGGCGGGGTTGTGAGCAGGCTTTCATTTCATCTTTTCTTATTATTTCTCATTACAAAAATTCTGCGCTTTTTCTCCATCTGCGCATAAAATCTAGACTGACAACCTGCTTGTTAAATCATGCACCTGCTTTCAGGCGTAAAAACCCTGTTGTAGAGGTCTCAGTCCTCATTTGTTAGACTTACCTGTCTTTATAAATATAACTTACTCTCTCTCTCTCTCTCTCTCTCTCTCTCTCTCTCTCTCTCTCTCTCTCTCTCTCTCTCTATCTCTCTCTATCTCTCTCTCTCTCTCTCTCTCTGTCCCGCTGCCTCTCTGTCTCTCTGTCTTTCTGTCTCTCTGTCTCTCTGCCTCTCTGTCTCTCTGTCTCTCTGCCTCTCTGCCTCTCTGTCTCTCTGTCTCTCTGTCTGTCTGTCTGTCTGTCTGTCTGTCTGTCTGTCTGTCTGTCTGTCTGTCTGTCTGTCTGTCTGTCTGTCTGTCTGTCTGTCTGTCTGTCTGTCTCTCTCTCTTTCTGTCTGTCTGTCTCTCTCTCTCTCTCTCTCTCTCTCTCTCTCTCTCTCTCCCTCTCTCTCTCTCTGTTTCGAATATACACAGCTTGTTTATAAGTTGACGTAACTTCTTTGATCACCAATGACAATTCAGTGCTCCTACGATCAATTTGATAATGGGTGACACGTACATGAATTGTGCATAAGAACATTATCTTAACCAAGCAGTCATCATCAGGATTGAAGGGAAACACACATGATGTGGTTTTATCAACAGGCAGCAGCCTAGCAGGTATGTAAACTTATAAAGTGGCTTGTATCCATTAAAAAAAAAGAGAAAAAGGAAGGTATATGAACCCATAAGCCAACAAACAATGAAAGCCATAATTGGTGTTGGGTCTGCTGCCAATGGACTGGATTGCTTGAAGGTGCAATATGTTTACACCTTCCGAGAGCGCTGACATCACACCCAACAGTATCTTGCCTATTTGTACACAAATCAAACTAGCTGGCGCAGAAACACGCAGACACACACACACAAACATACACACAAATCATTAGAATGAGAGTGAGCAAAAGAGGTGCACATCAAGATTCGATGTTGAGTGGGTCTTCTTCAAGTTCTGATGGTTCGTCTGGTTCGTCAGGTTTGCATGATGTCGGAGATCCGGACCGGACAAATTCTATAGCCTCGTCTTCCGTGAGTCTGACGCTAGGAAGTTCCCTGAGACAAATTGCATACCGACGTAATCATACACATGACCGCGTGTAGGTTGACAAACACACACGTGCATAGACACACACATGCATAGACACACACATGCATACACACACATGCATACACACACATGCATACACACATGCATACACACACGTGCATAGACACACATGCATACACACATGTGCATAGACACACATGCATACACACACATGCATACACACACGTGCATAGACACACATGCATACACACACATGCATACACACATGCATACACACATGCATACACACGTGCATACACACACATGCGTACACACACATGCATACACACACATGCATACACACACGTGCACAGACACACATGCATACACACACAGGCATACACACATGCATACACACGTGCATACACACATGCATACACACATGCATACACACATGCATACCCATACATGCAGACACACACATGCAGAGTTTTCCCTTGCATATCATCCCTTCATCATTCTACAAGAACCCGTCCTATGGGCAGGTGAGAAGTCATCTCTGCCAGTTTATTTGACCAAGTAAAGTAAACAACAACAACAACAACAACAACAACAACAACAACAACAACAACCAGCCTACGTGATTAACTCCCAATTAGTATTACCATCGCTACTGCCTCAGCAAGCAGCTAAACTTTGATCTCTCTGTATCTGATCCCCGTGCCTGTAATTATTTTTCTCTTATTGGCCACAGGCCATCGTGAGAATAAAAGAATTCAAAAACAACAACAACAACAACAACAACAACAACAACAACAACAACAACAACAACAACCTTCCAAGTTGGAAGGCCGTTGGTTAGTGCTATAAAGCAGTGCTCAAGCTGACTTTCATGTCGTGAAATGTCTCAGTCGATCGCATAACTTGTGCCCACAATTTCCATGTTACGATATTAATTAACACCCACAGAAAGTGTGAAGCATTTTGCCCCCTCTTTGCTTGTCTTTATTTCTATTCATTTTCTAATGTGATGTCAGTGTGAAAAAAAAGAGAAGAAAACACACGAGAACGAGTTATGCAGCAACTGCCCACGCCTGTAACACAATTATAAAGAGTACTGCCATTTTGGTACCACACTGCCCATATGACATGGTCACTCTCCACGCAATGCTATTCACGTGACATGGTCACTTTCCACACAATGCTAGTCACGTGACATGGTCGCTTTCCACGCAATGCTAGTCACGTGACATGGTCACTTTCGGACTTTCCACGCAATGCTAGTCACTTGACATGGTCACTTAACACACAATGCTAGTCACATGACATGGTCACTTTCCACTAGGCCTAGCACCAAATTTGCTCGGAGCGCTTCGATATTTTGGCGGCAAATTTTGCCCGATCACTTTCCATATTTTGCTAGGCATTGCCTTTCGTTTCCGATATTTTGCTCCATTTTGCCCCTGCTTTGTGGCAAAATGGCTTCGAATGAACCGTCTACTTTGGTAAAAGTGGATGGTGACTCTGATGAGGAAAGCAAAACTTATAATGGTGTCAGTATTACGGATTTTGTAGCATAATTTCAAATTTATGTACCCCTGACAACCTGCACGAGCTATTTCAGCGCGACTGGCCCAATGAAACCAAAGAAATTTGAAAAAAATTGCCAAAACACACCCGGATCCTCTGTAAATTCCATATTTTGCTCGGAATTTGCCAGCAATTTCTTTTCGTTGGAAAATTCGATATTTTGCTGGAAGAATTGCCGGCAAATTTGGGCTAGGCCTACTTTCCACACAATGCTAGTCACGTGACATGGTCACTTTCCACGCAATGCTAGTCACGTGACATGGTCACTTTCCACGCAATGCTAGTCACGTGACATGGTCACTTTCCACGCAATGCTAGTCACGTGACATGGTCACTTTCCACACACACACACTGCTAGTCACGTTACATGGTCACTTTCCACACACACACTGCTAGTCATGTGACATGGTCACTTTCCATGCAATGCTAGTCACGTGACATGGTCACTTTCCACACAATGCTAGTCACATGACATGGTCACTTTCCACAAAATGCTAGTCACGTGACATGGTCACTTTCCAGTTCCACGCAATGCTAGTCACGTGACATGGTCACTTTCATCACTTTCATCACCTCAAGAGTGCGATTTTTTTGCTTTTCATTCAACTTTTGGTTCAAAGATGCAAATGGTGCATACGGTTTCGCTGTCCGTGACCCAAGGAAAATTCGCTCTCGCATCCACTCTGCAAAAATCTCTCTAATTGTTTCAATTAATGTCTGATCCCCCAGTGGTGAGGCTACAGTAGAGTCTCAATGTGTTTCGACAAAAGAATTACGTTACCACTAGCTTGCGCCTCAACATAACGCTCCCAACAATGGACAATCAGAATGCGGGTGCAATGGTTGCTGGCCGTTCACATCACTCACCTTCCATCATAACCAGATTTGAGCTTAACAAAGGGGATTCCCCACCCATACAGCAAGACACCGAGAGTCAGTACGACTGCTGGCACGAGTAGTGCAATGAACAGTGTCCTGTGCGAGCGTTGCGGTGCGATTGCAACTAGATTTCACAGAAAACAAAAGACATACTCAGATGGTGAGCCAAGGAAAATTTTAAGTGGAAATAAGGGAAATGGTGGAGCACAAGTTGTACATTAGAGTTCATCAACTAAACTAGGTTTTGAACAGTCAGACGTACACAAGGTAGTACCAGATTGACAAGGAGTACTGATACATTCCACGGCAAGGAAGTGAGCTTGAACACTGCTCAATATGGCTAACCAACGGCCTTCCAACTTGGAAGGTTCATGGATATTATTGGTAATTTCAAAGAGGGGAAAGTAAGCGCCATGAAGCTGAACACAAGCTAGTTTCCAAGGCACAGTGGAATGGTGGCTTGGTACGGTATCAGAACGTACTTCCTCCGTTAAGCAAAACTTCGTTGCTTTTACAGTTCAGTCCAAATCATTCTATGGCTACTAACACGCTTTGCAAAGTGGAAAACAAGGCAGCATATGAATGATATTTGTTTACAGATGTCACACGGCTCGTTTCAAAGCAGTCCAGCTTCACTCTTCGTCTGAATCTGATGACGACTCACTCCCTGATGACATCGAGTCTGCATCCTCGCTGACTGTCGCCGCCAGCACTGCCAGCTTTTGTTCCGCACCCTTTATAAGTTTCCAAGACACGATTATATTTGATCGTGGAGATCGCCAAGTTCTTCGCTCAAACTGTGAGCTTGACGACCTCCACTTTGGCGCTGGTAGTTGTGGCCGCTCTCCAGAACGCCATGGAAGGAGCCATACAGACCCAAACAAACGCTCCCCATCTTCGCAGCGGTGTAGTCGTGCCAGCACGTTTCCACACATTGCACAAGCTCCTTTCTGGTTTCCTTTGCCACGAGTGACACTTCTGTCTATAGTCTGTGGAAGAACGCCAAGTCGTCGATGTTGAGATCAGGATTTTGCGCCGACTGAACGACAACCTAAACGTCGAACTCTTTTGATTTCCCCTGCGCTGCAAACACAAGTGCATTGATTTTGGTTGTGTGCAGATGCGCACCATAGACTCATACTAGTACTGCAGTGCCGGAGTGCTCGCCGGCTCCTGGACACTTCTTCAAGCCACGTGCCCTTTCAAACTGTTTCTCATTTTCGCACTTTGGTATCATGTGCGCGCGCCTGGCGTTGTTTTCTGGTGACATCCTGAGAAGAAACTGTTCTGTTTCGCCGATTTTTCAAAGGACTCCACGCTTGTCGGAGGTTTAAAAGCCTGTCAGAGCAATGGACGACAACTCAGCTATCCTATGTAGGGGATAGATCTCTGACATGTATGTCTAATGCCGACAGAAATATCATGACAAGAACACTAAACACGCAACAAAGTTTTGCTCAGCGGAGGAAGTAAGATCATTGGACGCTACCGTCTAGCCACAATTCGACAACGCAAAGCAACAGCCACCCACACTCCACGAAAGCAAGTAGTATTACTCCTGACAAGTCTTGTTTCGTTCCATAAAGATGACGGGATAAGAAATGAAAGAGGAGCTTTGCTAACTTCAGACAAATTGTACAAACCGAATGCTAATATTCTAGAGTATTACTGTTCATGACTACTGACTATCAAGTATGATGGACAAACTGAATACAATAACATGCATAGTAGCATACAACGATCACTTCACCATTATGATTCTTGACTGCTCTCAGGCTTGCAGTAAATTCTACATATTATTATCCGAGAGAGTGAGGCAAGGAACATTTAAAATGGAAACAAGGAAAATGATGGGGCACAAGTTATGCGTTAGAGTCGACCAACTAAACCTTCAACCTTCATACTTCGTAACCCGGCCCTAAGGTTGCTCAACGCACAAGAAACGTACCAATGCTGTATGCAATACTGTATAACATTTTCGGATGGAAATATTTTCGTACAAAGTCGAATTTCGACCTTTCGTACGGGTTTTATTTTCGTGCAGTGCTCCATGCTAAATGCACTTGTTCGCAAGCAGTACTCATATAATTATAGTGTACATGATTTCAAATCGTCATATGAACACATTTTAATACGGACATAATTTTAGTAATTCATTGCATTCCGAACTCATCACAACCACGCGCTCTTCAGCCGAACCATACAGACACCAGCAAGGACACTTCCGTTGAGAGATAATGTTGCTCCACGCCTCTAGACAGCTGTTTCGCTCCCTGTCGGAGCTCATCAGTAGAGGATGATAATGATGATAATGGAGGAATGATCATTCTTATACACCAGAAATGGCGCAAGTGCGCGCTTTCCACATAATTTATATCAATGGCATATGCAAGCTGCTAAAATGGTAAAGTGTGAGAACAGCGATAAATAATCATAGTACGCGCTCATTGGTGGAGAAACACACCACACAAGCGACGAAAATCTTACTCGGAATACTGATGCCAATGGAAAGTACATGTATGTTGTTTATTATTATGATGTTGCAATGTCCATGTATGCAGGCGAGGCGAGACTCAACGCCGAGATCCCCAACGCGACAGGCTCGGTTGCCGTTCAGGATTCACACCGACCTGTCCGCCCGTCAACAGGATCGACAGCGGGAGGCCCCACTGATGCCGATGTCGATGCACACCAGGAAACTTGTAGTCGTGAGTGTGATACTAACAGGTCTAGTAGCAACCACTGACAAACGAGAGGATGATAATGATCATAATGGAGGAATGATCATTCTTATATGCGTGCGTACTATGATTATTTATCGCTGTTCTCACACTTTACCATTTTAGCAGCTTGCATATGCCATTGATATAATTATGTGGAAAGCGCACACTTGCGCCATTTCTGATACTTTCGCAGCAACATGCGCCACAAGTAGCGCATTTTACGAATTTGAGACCACTTTGTTCTTGCCATCGTCAACTTCAGCATTTCATATTCAGGAGAGATACCAGTATTCTTATACCCGAGCTTGCAGTCTTGATAAATGCCCACGCGAACGATGTGGGACGGCACGAACTCCAGAAAACGAAATGCGCTCTGGGGCGGAATAGTGCGGAGCGCGATGAATTTGCTTGGTGCGGAAGAGAGCTCCTACAAAGTCAGAGACCACCACGGCTTCAGTAACAAGTAGACATTGTGCAGGAAGGGTCACACCAGTGTTCGAACACAGAAAACAGCGATTCCGACAGTCTGACTAAGACGAGCCAAGTCACAAATATTGCGATGTGCAAAGCGGAGGAAGTAGAAGAATGACAAGATCGGCAATGACGGCGATGGCAGCGACTAAAGCATAGACAGAGGCAATGGCTAGGGTCCACTCGACTAGCCATGTGATATCGGATGTGTTGACCGCACCTGCTGATTGTTCTGATGTTAGTTCTGATAAGTATGAGTCGTCCATTGCTAGTCATTGTTTGAGCATCCTGATTGGCGTGCTGTGTATTCAGATGATGGTTTTTCGATTGTGTCACGTGTACGCAGTGCTAGATTGCTGAATGTTTTGGAAGCCTTATACATCCACACAAAGAAACCCAACCTTTGCAAGCAGAAACAAACTAAATTAGGTAGGTAGGTCGTCAAAACCTCGTTAGTTACATGTATGTCCAACGGTTATCTCTTGTTGTCGCACTACATGTCACGCTTATTGAGTTTTCTCGCACTTGCACCTTTGTGTCATTATTGCAATTTTCGCTGTTTACTTTAGCTATCTTCTTCTTTGCGCTGTTTTACCACCTCCTTACTGTATTTAATCCACTTTTCCTGTTCCTTTTCCCTTGCCTGTATTTCACCTGACGAGAAGGCTTGAAAGTATACTTGTGAAGACAAAAACTTTCAAGATGTTCGTAATGAGCCTGAAGTGTGTCCTTTTTATGAGTATTATCGCATTTTGTCTCAGAGGAAACTGATTATTCGATATATTGCTATTTTTTTCTAGAAATTGGTAACTGAGTACACACCTGCGCAGATTGGTAACGTGGTCCAATACCCGCTGGCGAGACACTCCATGTGTTCTACTCCATTCGTTAAGGACGCTGGCGGAGGGCACGTCATGTTGACAACAGCCCCCACATTGCTTGGTGCTGAGACATTCAAGAACAGATCCGAACCCAGGGTGTTAAGGGGCTTGCATCCGGGTGCTGGGCACACAAAGTAGAGAGGCAGTTGTCACAAGAAAATCAATTAGGAAACATTCATCTAGATTCACCATAGACTTGGGTGGAGAGCCAAGCATTGTCAACTGTCCACGACTGCAATGAGATACTATGCAGTCAGAACCTGGCCAAACAGGCCCAACACTGGCAGGCTACTGAAACAGAATCTGCCACCTTTTCGAGCATTATCCGCCAATGCCTAGTGGTGAAGCTTCCTGCAGCTTCATTCATAGGAAAAAAGATTTCAGAGCAGACTCGCTCCCTTGCTATTCACTCTACAAAACTCGAACTCATTTCTCAATCTATTTTTTTGCAACGTTTCGGCAAAATTGCCCTTAATAGGTATGCAATGATGTGCAAGTTTGCAAGGAGCAATCACAAAACAAAATTCATAAGAAATTGTCTGCTCCAAAAGGTGGAGCTCGGGCTTCCTGCCGACTGACTTGACACAAACTTTGTACAAAATAGATAAATATTTGAAAACTTTTAACTCTCAGACAGGCGCATACTGCCAAGGTTAGCATTACTATGCTATGCTGCTAGCTCTGCATCCACTTCAACACCACCACAACATCTGCACTCTGCGTCCACTTCAACACCACCAACATATTTGCACTTTGTGTCCACTTCAACACCACCACCACGTTTGCACTCTGCGTCCACTTCAACACCACCACCACATTTGCACTCTGCGTCCACTTCAACACCACCAACACATTTGCACTCTGCATCCACTTCAACACCACCAACACATTTGCACTCTGTGTCCACTTCAACACCACCACCACGTTTGCACTTTGCTTCCACTTCACCACCACCACAGCATTTGCACTCTGCGTCCACTTCACCAACACATTTGCACTCTGTATCCACTTCAACACCACCAACACATTTGCACTCTGCATCCACTTCAACACCACGAACACATTTGCACTCTGCGTCCACTTCACCACCACCACAGCATTTGCACTCTGCGTCCACTTCGCCCCCACCACATTTGCACTCTGCATCCACTTCAACACCACCACCACATCGCCTCCCATATCAAGAACAGTATGGAGGTATCAGCATGCTGATTGGGCCAGGCTCCGTCACTTCTTCAGAACCACCAATTGGGCAGCTATTGCTCGGACTGATCCAGACCTGTCATGCACTGGCATCTCAGAGAGGATCCTGGAGGGTATGAAGAGATTCATCCCCTCTAAAATTCTGAAAACCCGAGCATCAGATCCTCCATGGTGGACCCCTGAGTGCACTGCTGCCACAGTGAGGAAACGACGTGCATGGAGGTGCCTGGGAGATGACCAGTCTGACCACGATCGGCAGTCAGCCTACCAAGATGCACGGCTCTCAACGATTGCCTGTCTCAAAACTGCCAAGAGTGCTTTCATGGCGAAACTGAGACAGAAAATGACCTCAAAGCAGCTGCCACCCAGTGACTGGTGGCGCACCGTCAAGCGTGCCTCTGGCAATGGGCGTAGTCAATCTGTTCCGACATTACGTGATCCCGATGGACGAGAGTACACAGCCAGCGCAGACAAAGCAGAATGCATGGCCCGCTATTTTGCAAGCAAATGCAGTCTCGCACAAGATGACCTGTCCGCCCCATTCCCATATGTCAGACCTCGAACTGACCAGGCCCTTTCGGACGTCCGTTTCCGCGTCGCTGCTGTTGAACGCACCCTTCGCCAGCTCAACCCATCAAAGGCAACCGGGCCGGATAGGATACCGGCACGAGTGTTGAAAGCCTGCTCTGCTGAACTGGCGCAACCGCTTTCCATACTGTTTACCCAATGCTTCCAAACTGGGATACAACCCAAGACATGGAAGATTGCCAACATAGTCCCTATATTCAAACGGAAATCAAAGTCTCTACCCTCCAATTACCGTCCAGTTTCGCTCTTGTGTATTCTGTCCAAGGTGATGGAGACAATCATCAACAGAACAATCACAAATTTCCTCGAGTCGAACAACGTCTTCTCCACCAGACAGTTTGGATTTCGCCATGGTCATAGTGCAGCCGACCTCCTTACCAGCCTCCACCACCAGTGGCTGCATACAGCCGGGGAGAAAGGCGCAGCACGCATACTCGCCATTGACATCGCCGGTGCGTTTGATCGCGTATCACACCCCGGTGTGCTACACAAGTCCGACGTATACGGCCTGCGTGGGAAACTGCACCAGTGGCTCAGCAGCTACCTCAGTGAACGCTACCTTCAAGTGGTCATTTGTGGCCAGACATCCTCAAGGCTCCCAATTCAGGCTGGAGTCCCCCAGGGCAGTATTCTGGGTCCGACTCTCTTCCTCATGTACGTGAACGACTGCGAGGACCACGTACCAGCCGGTGCTGACCTAGCCTCGTTCGCAGACGACACTACGCTGTATGCCAACATCACCCCCACTACCCAAGAAGATACCACCCAAGCCCTCCAGCTAGCAGTCAACAACATCTCCCGCTGGGGTCAAGAATGGAAAATAAAATTTGAACCAGCCAAATCCCAGGCACTGACCGTCAGTTTCCACCGCACTCAATGGGACATGCCACCGATTGACTTCAACGGATCAAATGTGATGGAACAGGAGGAGCTCAAAATCTTGGGCATCAGTTTCGATGGTCAGCTTACCTTCCGGCGCCACCTTCGTACCGTAGCCCTCCGGGCAACACAGCGACTTGGTGCTTTGCGTAAGGCTTTCCACCTCCTAGACGTGCCCGGTCGCATCCAAGCCTACAATGCTTTTGTGCGCCCAGTGATGGAGTACTGCCCTATTGTCTGGATGGGAGCGGCCCCATCCCATCTTGCAAGACTCGACCGTGTGCAAGCCCGGGCCATCCGTGCCATCGCCCCAATGTGTTGGCTGCCGAGTCTTGCTCTTCGTCGGATGGTTGCAGCACTTTGCCTCCTGTACAAGATGCATTGTCCGGATGCGCATCCCCTTCTACAGAGGATGCTGCCACCCCAGCAGCCCCAACACCGAACAGTCCACTCCACCCGTAGTACATTCCAGAGATGTAATGCTCACGCACACCAACTGGCCAATGAACTTCCAGTCCGTTCTCGAAACAACCTGTGTCGAGCCTACCCTCACGCAGTTGTCCCCATCTGGAACCAGCTGCCCGCCGGAGTCTTCTCTGGTCCTTTCTGCACCAAGAACTTGCAACACTTCAAAGTTGCAGCCAACCGCTATTTGAAGACCAACGACTGGTCGTGGGCACATGACCATCTCTGATCATCAGCATCATATCTGCCTCACCCCATGACTTCCAAATTCCGCTCCACATACTATTCCCAATAACGTCTGTTCTTCTTTTCTCTCCTTCTCCTCCTAGCACTGTCTGTCTTATCATTCCCCTCCTTCTAATGTACTGTCTCTCCTCCTAACATTTCGTATCATGTACCTGTCACTCCTTTCATTTTTCTTCTTTTTTTGGTGCGTTTTATGTCCCCATGACGTCGAGACCTCAGGTCGGCTGAGGGCAAAAAGCCTCACCATCACTATGCTCCCACTATGCAATTTTTTGTCTTTGCCTGTGAGCTGTGATCATTGTAAAAAAAAAAAAAAAAAAAAAAAAAAAAAAAAAAAAAAAAAACATTTGCACTCTGCGTCCACTTCACCACCACCACAACATTTGCACTCTGCGTCCACTTCGCCCCCACCACATTTGCACTCTGCGTCCACTTCACCTCCACCACATTTGCACTTTGCGTCCACTTCAACACCACCACATTTGCACTCTGCGTCCACTTCAACACCACCACATTTGCGCTCTGCATCCACTTCAACACCAGCACAGTTCCACTCTGCATCCACTTCACCACCACCACGTTTTCGCTCTGTGGCCGACCGACTTCTTTCTTCTTACGGTGCTAGCACACTAATTCTTAATTTTTCCTCCTTTTTCCTACACCTAATATGGGATTCGAACCGGCACTATCTCCCTGCATGTATTCCCTCGATATGCTTTGCATACTTACACATTCTTCCAAGTTGCTTCACTCTATGATCCTGCAGTTAAAAGTCCTATTAAAGGGGAAGTTAAGCCTAAAATTAAATTTTCACCAGTTGTAGTCTTCGGGGTGCTGAGTCGAATGGTCTTGGTCCGAGGAAGCTGAGGCGCCCCCTTCCTCCTGTATTCTCAAACAAACTGGCGCACTTCCACCGAAACTGGGTGATTGTGCCCTACTAAATGGGGATTTGTATGCAAAATGTGACTAAAAGCGCCATTTCGTTCTTTTAAAAGCACGAATGACCGCGATTGGCCCATATGTCTTTTGGACGCTGAGCTGACTGGTTTTGGTCTGAGAATGCTGTGATGCAGCGTTCCTCCTTTGTTCCCAATCGAACATGGTGGAACAAGCGGTCACGTGCTCCTGCGTACACCAGTCACCTGGTCACCGTGCACGCGGCGGGCGTGCCTGCAGGGTACAACTTACAGCCTGTTTGACCTTTTTTTGGTGCAGTCCTGTCACTCGAGTTGAACCTTGGTGTGAAGATTGTCTCTTGCTGGCGCGGTGACCAGGTGATTTGGGCACGCAGAAGCACGCGACACGCGAGCATGTAAGAACTGTGTGGTTTTATGGAGTTGCAACTAGGCAACTGCTGTTCAAATGGGCTAAATACACTAACTCTAGAACTACCAAAATTTCAAGTGCCCTAGAATTACCGGAGGCATCATATGACTCCACCGGACTTAAACATAACTGTTTGGTATTCTTTTTGGCAATATGAGTAGAAAAGAAAGTCCTTGGGGTGAAGGGCACCTTTTAAAAGGAAGAACCAATTACAGGTGCAATATCTTGGAGGCTGGCAGCTGGCATTGCGCACAGCGAAAGAGCGACCTCTTGTCGGTTTCCAGAAAAAAAGAGCATTTGCTTGCCATGCTCACCCTGCAAACTCTACATTTCAGTCTATTACCCCGGAAATGGCTGCTGCTTCCCCAACCTGGTTGGTTTTCCCCAGCCAGGTTGGTCATTCTTTGACTTCTGTGAAAAATACATCTACGAGCGAAAGGGAGAAAGTGATGTCGTGACTCATAGGGAAAAAGTAATTTCCGTTCGCCGTCGTGTGCGGAGACCATCTTTGTGATCAAACCTCAAGTAGCAGAGTAGTTCCTCGAAACTATTTCTAGGGATTTTACTTGATTATATGGCGTCCATTCCTATCCAGCCGAAGGGCCGTCGTCAGATTATTGCGGGTATAGAGGACGCCTCTTGCGTTGATTTGCGAAACCAGTGCCATGATATTGCCTTCACTCAAAGTAGAGTCCTCTCCGATTTTCAGTTTTCCTTCCTGCCGTGTGCATTTGATCTTGACATGGGTCATATTCTGGTCAATAGATGCGAATAATGCATCTGACCCATCTTCAAAATTGTGAATATCCCGAAAAAGCCGGCAAACTTCCGAAGCAACAACCTGTTGCATGCATTCGGGCTTGCTTGGTGCAACATATTTTCCACTGTCCACCAACTTTGCCATAGAACACATGTTCATGAAGGAAGTACTGCACGAGTTTTGGAGGTTGATGTACTGTTTAGGGAATAGCTCCATAGCCTTTCCACCACCGTTATCCGCTAACTTGCTCAAGTCGGATCCTGTATCAGACTAATCGAGAACCCAGGGCAATTTGTATTCGCCCATCTTCATCTCAAGCATATAACTATGCGTCTCTGTGTTCGGTCACTTCTAATTCCAAGCCCACAATGATCCAGTCACTGTCCTCGCATTCATCCCCAAACTCCTGCCCAGATTAAAAAAAATCAAATGAAATGCTTTCGGCAGCGACACTACGCCTGCTGAACATTGCTTCTGCAAGACCGACCTAAAACCAAGTGCACTGCAATAGCACACACAGTGATACTAGCTCTACATGAAAGGTCATGAAGTTTGTAAGATCACACTCATAAAGACACTAGAATAATATGTTGTACCTTCTAAAATAGGGGAACATCCCCCGCGAAAAGGTAATGGCAATCTTCAAAGCATACCTCCCGTTAAGTTCCCTCAGCAAGCAAGCACAGAGAAATGAGGGCGACAACAATGTAAGTGAGCTAAAGATAGATGAGGACACACGGAAACCCTTACTAAAGCTCCGTTCGAACTCTCACACTAAATCGGGACAGAGTGTCCTCACCTTGCAGTGTCACTGAGATTGAGGTGGAGAGACGATACTTGGCGAAATCAGCTATGGTCTCAGCTCGGTTCACCAGCCAAAACTTATCAGTTCTCGAGTGAGGAAAGTTCACCTTGTACTCTGTTGTGCAATAGATGAGGAATCGAATACCTTGGGGATGGGCTCGGGTCAACTTTGGTATGTTAATATCATTCCCCACAAACATGAGGTTATATTCAGCTGTAACATTGTGAGACTGTTCAAAGGCTGTGTTTGATGTTGATGACTGAATTGTGTGTATCGGAAGAGAGGATTCGCAACTGATAACCATGTCATGCATTCCAATGGTTTCAACTGGGACTGCATGCGTCTCGTTTGTGTATTCCAATGTCAGAGATGTGCTCGAATTGCCAAGGCGAATCCTCAGGTCTGTTTGGCGTAGAAATATGTGAACAGATACGAACACACACACACACACACACACACACACACACACACACACACACACACACACACACACACACACACACACACACACACATAAGCACACAAACACCCACACATACACACACATACACACACATACACGAACAAGCACACACACACGCATAAAATGCACCGCTGCATGGTGTTTATAATTGTTCTGCTGGTAGTCTTATTATTGACTTCTCATATCGTTCATATTTGATCATATTTAATTTCATCTAACATACCGTAAAGTCGCAGATAAAAGCCAGGTTTGCATACAAGCACATCGCGGATAGAAGCCTGAAAATCAAACGGGTCAAATGCATGTAAGCCTGTCGCACGTAGAAGCCTGGCGTCTATGCAAGCGCGGATCGAGTAGGACAAGAGTGCATGCGCTATGTACGGTGCATAGTCAAACTGCCGCCATACCGGCAGTCAGCGGTAGATCTACACGTGTCGCGCGTAGAAGCCTGGCATACAAGCCTGGCAAAAATATCAGCGGTGCATATAAGCATGGTTTGCATACAAGCCTGGTTTATAATTTCAGCCTGATGCACAAAGCGGCTTATTATGCTTATAAGCCCCGCTTTTATCCGCGACTTTACGGTACTATTCTAATTTTTTATCATAGCCTAGGAGCTGTGGCATCATTGATGGTCCACAGCAAGAAGGCAGCAATGCCTGTACTCATGGTCTGTACTCATGGCCTGTACTCATGGTGAAGTAAATTAACAGTAACATTACACAAGCACACACACTACTGCTGCTGCTGCTGCTACTGCTGCTGCTGTTGCTGCTGCTGCTGCTGCTGCTGCTGCTGCTGCTGCTGCTGCTGCTGCTGCTGCTGCTGCTGCTGCTGCTGCTGCTGCTGCTGCTGCTACTACTACTACTACTACTACTACTGTGGGAATGCCTCTTGTACGGGCCAACAACATGTGATACACAAAGAAATAACCGCAAAGTTTTTTTAAACAGAATAGAAAAACAAAGAAATAACCCAAAAGCCTAAATTATAAGAAAAAGACAGGACACTTCCGGTAATGCAAACTACTCCAGCGATACAAAAAGACAGGACACTGCCGGTAATGCAAACTACTCCAGCAACACATCACAGTACTGTTGAAACTAAAAAGTTCCCATTGACAGATTAATTGACAGCAACCGACATCACGGACAAGGCAACACTAAAAAGTAGATACAATACCATGAGCTAACTGAAACCAAGGGCTCAGAAGCGAGCAGCAGCCCGCATCTCCGCAAGGAGAGCAGCAGCCCTTCGCCGGTAGGATGTACGGGATCCCCGGAGACACGTGATCTGCCACCTGAGCAGACACATGCCGATCTTCGCCCTGATTGTTGAGATGGCAACGGCATAGCTAATGGCTCTGCACTTCTCTGCGACACGACTTGCCAACGTCTTCAGGAAGACCTCACACTCCACAGCCGCCTGGCCATTCGTTCCAAACACAAGCGGAGCATCAGCAAAATCCGACTTATTCAGCACAAAATCACCGGTAGAGGGGTCAGCCGTCATCAAGCTGGATACCACCGCCTCACAAGCTATGTCCACTAGCAGTTGCTGGGATGGGCTGAGGAGTTCCTTCAGCTCCTGGTCCCTCTGCCGCAGCAATGAGTTAAAGCATAATAATTATAATGCTCCGATTGCCTCAGGGACTTGACCCTCGTCAGCATCTGCGAAAGGTCACTGACAAACGAGCCAGCAGGTGAATCAGGGACGGACCCTTCAGGTGGAGAGCCACTAGAAACTTGACCGTCCATATCCACCACGGGTCGAGAAGAAAACGCTGAGGTAACCCTTACACCACGCGCATCTGATTCCCCGTTCGCCGCAATCATTGCTACAACTGGTGCCGAAACATTAACCAACGACTCCCGCTGCCAGGTACTCTCGTCAGCGACCTTTGGGTTGGCAATGCCCCCAAATCGCACAGGCATGGCAAGAAGAGAACGCTCACTGTCACTAAACTGGGGACGACCAGTTAGTGCAGGCAAGAAATCGCGATCCAAAAATACTATCCAGATCTTGATAAGTCTGGGGGAAAGTGCCCGGATGGCTGCGCATATGATAATGCCACTTACTCTTTACTCCGCGAATAAATGAGAAGTAGGTGGCATGCCGTTGCGTTGTGGCTATGTGGGAAAGGGATGCCATCTCGTTGGTCCACTTTTCTACATGTTTCCTTATGCTCCGGTTAATAAAATGCTGCTGGCCAACTGCACCACTCAAGTAGCGAACACCCTCAGTCTTCACTGAGACACCGGTGGACGCGAACAACTCCTGTGCACGCTCTTCAATCTCCGGTTTCACTAGTAGAATAGTTTTCTTGGAGTTGGGGAAATAGCCATAGTAGGTTCCGAGGGCACTAAGACTCTTCCAGTACGCCAGTGCGCCCTCAAGTTTTCCTCCGCCTCGCTGTCATCGGCATACCAGCAGGCCTGCTACTATCAGGATCAGTTTGCCAATGCGGAAGGTCAGCCAAGACAAACATGGAGAGTGATTAACCAGGTATCAGGCAGAACACGGACCCACACTGCTCCTCAATGCCCCCCGGATGACATCGGACAAGTGTTTGCGGACATCGTCACAGATGTGACTCGCCCAAAGGTGCTGTCCATCCCCTCTGGTCCGCATGCAAGTACTGACCTCTGCTGTTTCAAGCCAGTATCCATCGCATGTGTACGCAAGTTGCTCAGCAGTGTAGATACGACAAAGTCAACGGGCAGTGACGGCGTACCTGCTCTTGTACTAGCAGCATGCTCTGACCTCTTAGCTCCATCAGTAACTCTCATCTTCAACAAGTCACTTTCCGAAGGGAGATTTCCACTATCCATGAAACTTGCAAATATCACCCCTGTGTACAAGAGCGGCGACCCTACTAAGGCCACCAATTTCAGGCCTGTTTCTCTGTTGCCTATTATCTCAAAGATCCTTGAGCGCATCGTACATTCGCAACTCACTGAATTCTTGACTACCCACAGCCTCTACCCAGATTGCCAGTTCGGATTCCGGAAACAGCACTCAACAGAGGATGCTGTTGTGATGGCATCAGAGGCCTTTGCCAATGCCAAAGACTCCGGACTCTCAACTTGCGCCGCCTTTGTTGACATGTCGAAGGCATTCGACAAGGTTCAACATGGCACCCTCATCCGCGACCTCTTCAGTATTGGTGTTGGTGGAAGTGCGCTGAATTGGCTGGCAGACTACTTAAGTGACCGGCAGCAAAGAGTTGTCATTGGGAACCAGCACAGCAAGGTATTCCAGCCCAGCAGTGGTGTGCCCCAGGGTTCCGTACTTGGTCCTCTGCTGTTTGTCCTCTATGTCCGTGGTGTGGCATCTGAAGTGCAACCGTATGGTGTGCGGACAGTTCAGTTCGCAGATGACATCATGCTCTATATTAGTAGCAGGGACAGACATCAGCTGGAACGCAGTATGTCTTCTGCAGTTACACACCTGGCCAGATGGCTTGCCAGCAGAAACCTGGTACTAAACGAGAGTAAAACCCAGATTTTGTTCATCCCTGCCCATCGTTCTGTGAATCCTCGTGTCAGCGTTATGTGCTCTGGAGTTCAACTGACACAAGTAGAATCCGCAAAGTATCTTGGTGTCCACATGGACCAAGATCTCAAGAGGACCACAATGGTCAACCAGATCGCCAAGCGAGCTGCCTGTAAAATAGCTGTCCTGTTTAGAAACAGGCGCTGCATGCCCCTCCCGTGCCGCATCACGTACCTGAAGTCCCTGATCCTTCCTGACTTCCTGTATGCTAGCAACTGTTTCTCTGCTGGCCTCACCTCACATCAGCTCGAGCGCCTAGAGCGGCTACTCAAGCGCGCAGTCCGCTGTGTTTACAACGCTCCATTTGCATCCCCATCTGCGCCGCTGTATTGCCAATTGCGATTGCACTCGCTAGAAGTTATGTACTGCCACAAGCTTCTTGGCTACACTTGGCGCTGCCTTCAGGGTAAATGCAGCACATTGCTTACCGATATGTTCAGTCCTCTTAATGCCGGCCGTGCTACACGTAGTCAGGGAAATCGAGCACTTAAATTTCCAGTCACTAAGACATCCGCTGGCACACATTCTGCCTCATTCCAATGTGTATCACTGTGGAACAGGCTCCAGCCCGACATCAGGAAAATCCCACAGTACCACCGATTCATGCGATCCCTCCCAGCACATGCTGCTTTTCAGTAATGCCACTGCCCGCTTTATTATTATTTCCTTTACTGGCCTAACTGGCTTTTACAATGACGTAATACTTTACTACCCACTCTACTCAGTGTCATTACCTTCATTGGCCTTTTATAATTTATTCTTCTTTTTAGTCGATATCATGTAATTAGGCAAATTTGCCTGTTTGTTCTTCGACTCTAAATAAACAAACAAACAAACAAAAAAAATTGTTGCATGTCAGGATGTTGACTCTGCAAATCACGGATCATTGGGCAAACGGCAAGCGCATACATAGCCATAGGCAAGGGGTATCCCTGACAGGAGCCTTCGCTTGACATGATACTTCCACCATCTGGCAAAAAAGCTTGATAGAAGCGCAGGTCGCATTCAAGCTGTGGGATGTCCTGGTAGGATGTTTTACCCGCCGGCCAGGCATTCACACTCTGGGTAGTACATGCAAAAGTATGCGCTCACAAGAGACTGAAACCAATTATTGCTTTGCAGAACGACCCAGTCACGTCTTGGTGGAGCATGATTGACTAGAGCATTTGGCAGCCGAATCCTCCTTCCTCTCTATCTTTAGATTTTACCTTTTTCTGCACCTTTTGCCTGTATGCAACACACTCACAGGAATTCTTTCTCTCCTGTCTCTGTTAATCTGTAAGATATTGTCGACCTAACGTGTTTGTACAGAAAGCCAGCAAAACCTGTTAGTTCTTGATTAGCACTGTAATATAAACTAACTATCCATCCAACCTTACCTTCACACTCCGGTAGTCCACTCCACAATCCATTAGGAAGACACTCAACATTGTGAAATCCGTTAACTATACTCAGTCCAGATATACACTTAGGTTGAACAATGGCGCCTCTCTTATTGCTTGATGAAAATGAGGGCTCTAAGTTCATCACCAGGGTGTGGAGTGGCTGACATCCAGGTGCTGGTACAAAAGACAGGAAGGCAAGGCATACAGTCTTTTGAATGGCTCACAGTATCCAGAGAGCACTTTACTGGTCACTTCAACGTCTCCCCCGCTCTGTGTCCGTCTGTCTGTCTGTCTGTCTGTCTGTCTGTCTGTCTGTATGTCTGTCTGTCGGTCTGTCTGTCTGTCTGTCTGCCTGCCTGCCTGCCTGCCTGCCTGCCTGCCTGCCTGTCTGTTTGTCTGTCTGTCTGTCTGTCTGTCTGTCTCTCCTTATTTCTCTCTCTCTCTCTATCTCCCTCTCACTCTATCTCTCTTTCTCTCACTCTATCTCACTCTATCTCTTTCTCTCCCTTTCACTCTCTCTACCTCTCTCTCTCTCTCTCTCTCTCTCTCTCTCTCTTTCTTTCTCTCTCTCTCTCTCTCTCTCTCTCTCTCTCTCTCTCTCTCTCTCTCTCTCTCTCTCTCTCTCTCTCTCTCTCTCTCTCTCTCTCTCTCTCTCTCTCTCTCTCTCTCTCTCTCTCTCTCTCTCTCTCTCTCTCTCTCTCTCTCTCTCTCTCTCTCTCTCTCTCTCTCTCTCTCTCTCTCTCTCTCTCTCTCTCTCTCTCTCTCTCTCTCTCTCTCTCCACAATCTGACACAGTATGCTCTAACCCACAACAGCCTTCCTTTGCAATTAAGGAAATTATTTTTTCCTACTACGACAGTCTTTGCGCTTTCGTCGTTCAACCACACACTCCCACCTTTAACCCTTTCAGTGCCAGAGCACTTACTACACGGTTGGCCGGCACACACGCTGGCACTACACACACTATTCCCGCTGGGCACTAAAAATATCGCCATTTCACTTACCAGTAACGGATTCTCATCATCTTAGGCTCTCTAGAAAGATCTCCCCTGTCGACCTATGGTGCTCAGTGCTCTGTAGGCGCAGGAGGACGGGCTACAAACACTTCGAAAGCAGCTCCAATACGCCATTGTTTGCTATTCTACACTCAGCGACAATTTCTTTCGATTTGCAGCTCATACTCAATGTGCAGCGACGATTCAAACACCAGCAGAATCAGGCTGTTGAACGTGTTCTAGTGCTGAGTTTGGTGTATGTCACGCATGGGCTGTTCCCCGGGGAAATCCCCCGTAATCAAACACCTTGTCAACTGTAACATGCAGTGTGTCACAGTCACACGCTTGAAATTTCTACTGCACCCGTTTTCCGAACTTCGAGCTTCGGCGCTTGAGTATTTTACTTTGATCTTTATCGAATGCAGGCAGGCAGGCATAGTGGGATGGTCTAAGACCATGATTGAGAAACAGAGGGTACCAGGTTCAAGTCCTGCTTGGAAGCGGAAGGATTTTTTCCAGCCGTGCTGCGACCCACAGTTAATTGGGAACTCGTGGCCTGGCACGAGGGAAACATGGATGCAGTGAATGGGATTTCGGTCTTTGACCACTTTGTGGTGGGTCTGATCTACTCACCTCCCACCGTTTAGGAGCTGCATCTGCGCCTTGATCCAAGAGGGTGGTGGCGTTCCTGCGGATGCGGAAAACTGGGCCTTTGGCCGAGTCTCACGCGAACCGTGAAATTTTTTTTTTATTTTATTTTTTTATCGAATGATATATCGTTGGAACGCCGCGTTCAATAGCTTTCCAATGAGCTGTCATTGGTTGAATTTGAAGTAGGGAGGCCGAAGTTATAGCTGTTTGTACACTGGTCTATGCTTGTTTCTATATGCTCCATGTGCGTGACAAGTTATCTCGTCCTTGGCCATTCAGGGTGGTTGTTTCAGGACGAGTTATCTCTTCCTTGGCACTGAAAGTGTTAATTACAACATTGGTGTTTTCCAGGGGTGCCCCTTGTCCCCGGTCCTTTTCGATATTTGTTTCCAGCTTCCGCTGGACTCACTTGCAGCACCTGAATTAAGTTGCCTCTGCTATGATTTTAAATCTGCCCCTTTGCAAGTGTCTTAAACAGCTTTTGCTGATGACTTAGGCCTCTAAACCCTAGGGTTTATTGGGTGTTAGCCGCCGTCGTGAGTTCCCTTCGGGAACGGACACGATAATTTACTTAATTCTTTTTAGGCCTCTATAGCAAATATAGTGCAGGTTGTTGTCAAAAACTCATTGCGGTCACGGAGGACTTTCTCTCGTGGACCCAATGTATGCAGGCGGCGCCACATAAATGCAAACGCAGTGCAGCAAAGCTTGTAAGTGGCCGGTACGAACCTTACGATCCCTGCCTGACGGTGTCAGGGAGGAAGATCGCTTTCATTGACACCGAAGAGTTCAAGTTCGTGGGGCGAAGGCTGCATGCAGATTGGTATTGATTTTATTTTTTTATTTGAATTCGGTATCTCAACAGTACAATGTACAACTTGGGAAGATCCGAATGACATAGATACATAAACATAAAAGTGGAGTAGGTGCTACAGCTGATCATTTTATCGCAGGTTGTGGGACTAAACTAATACAGTACCAGTATGCAAGTACACAAGAAATAAAAGCTGAATAAATACGACTGCATGACATTGGTGAAAAGCACCAATTAGAGCTTTAGAGATTGCTCCAATCAGAGCCAGCGGGAAGACATCCGTCAACTCATTGTATCTCTCATGCACATGGCCAACAATCGAGGACATCTGAGAGTTGTAATTTTTGTACTCCTCCGAGGTGTGATTTTTGGCGTGCTGGGCCAAGCACAAGGAAGTCATCTGCAAAAAAACGGCAGAAAATGGTTGTTGTTTGATCCTTTGGTGTAATCTTTGTTTCTAGTCGAAGCTAGTTGCTGTTTGGAGCAGAAACGCTGAAATTGACTATTATTCTGCATGTACTCATACATGCACTCATGTACTCAGGCATGCAGTCTCACTCGTATTTTAGCTCTTTTTCTGGAATGGATGCTGCTCTGCGCCCCTTGGTGAACATTTCCTGCGCTCGTGGAGCAGCTGAAAAGGACCACTGGTATGTCTAGTTCCTGGTTTGAAAGTGGAGAGTCGACTTTTGTGCCTTGAAAAAGGAGTAGAGAGCGATAAAGGTACGTCTGTGGCGTATTTTTGAGTGCTCCTCGTACATTTTTGATCGTGATAGAAATTCTCAGACCAAAGTCAGACCAAAGTCAGCGCGATGATGGCCGTACAGTTTTCTTGTGGATTTTTTAGTTGTTTCATCTCGTATCTATGTCAGTATCGTGATGGTGAAGTGGAGAGGGTGATTTTCTTCCTCTAGGCTTCGTTCGGCCGACTTTGCTTCGTCCTCGTTGAAAAGTGATCCTGAAAAAAAGGTCGATTCGCAAAATTATGTTGATTTTGAATGTACGTGATGACATGCGATTGCTGGCTATGAAAAAGTAGATGGCTCTTGGCTTCAAGACCACCGCAAGCTATGGCTTTACCACCATCTTGTAGTACCCAAACTTTCTTGGTCTTTCCAGGTTCTTGAACTCACACAAGGTTTTGTACGTGAACTGCACTTTATGTGTTTACAATTTCTGAAGAAATGGTCAGGCCTACCTCAAAGCGCATACTCTGCCATTTTTTTTGGCAGTCGCAAACGCTTTGGCTTACCCCTCCACTACCTTTCTACGGTGTGGAAAAAAGTGCCAGTCCATCAAATGGCACATTCTTCGATCGAGTGGGGACGTGCGCATGAGGGCGCTGTACACTCTGCGTTGGAGTAAGGATGCGAAGCTGACAAAGCGGTATGCGGCGACAATAGAGCTGGAGTGTGCAGAGGCATCAGTAGGTTCAGGGACTCTTCGTCCACCATCATTGTCAAGTCATCGTGCAGGGTTGGGTGCTCGTGCTCCGAAGCATCATTCCAAACCCCCGAGGAAGGATCTCCTTCAAATATTTGAGGAGATCAACGCACAGGAGCAAATTTTGAGGCTGAAGACTCTTCAGGCGCAAGGCAAGTGGTTGGAGTGGACATCGGTGATGTGGCAGAACCTCTCGTGGAAATCCCTTTTGAACGGGGTACTGGTAAGGATTTGAAATTTCTTCTCGCATCAACGGTGGACGTGCTACCTTCTCCGACGAACCTACGCCGTTGGGGAAACACCGTAGTGGATCCGTAATGTAGTTTGTGCCGTCCCTGGGCCTGTACTACACGCCACGTGCTTGGCGCTTGTCGTGTAGCGCTGGACCAGGGACGGTACACCTGGAGGCAAGACAACGTACTCGGGGTCATCGTCAGGAACATGCGTGAGGAGATTCGAATCCGCACTGCTGCAAACACCGTACAAACCGAAAATTCAAATGTGCTTTACTTCATCTCGTTTTGGAAGGCGGGAGAGAAGCCAGTTCGCGTTCAGCCCAGACGCAAGTTGGTTGTGACTGATCTCCTGTCAGTGGCCTCAGACTGGAAACTTCTTGTTGACTCATCTAGTGCAAAGATTGCTTTCCCTAGCTGTGTTGCACTTACCACTCTAAGACCAGATATAGTTCTCTACTCTACGAGTCGTAGGATTGTATTCTGGATGGAGTTGACAGTTTGTGCTGAGGACAGATTCAGTGTCAGTAACTCGAAGAAGGACAGGCGGTATGCGGATCTGACCGGTCAATGCTGAGCAAACGGTTGGCAGGTCGTTTCTTTTTCGGTTGAGGTAGGTGTGCATGGTTTCATCCCGGACTCTCTTCGGAGGGCTCTGAAAGCGCTTAGGTTTTCTAATCGAAATGAAATTTATTCTCTTTATCTTATTATTTCTTTTCTATAATTTCCCCACACCAGTTCCTATCAGTTGTTGTGAACACCTTGAGTGGAGAGCGCTTGTTTGAGCGTCGAGCCTGGATTCTTAATCCATCATACCCAGTTCGCAAGGCTAGGCGGGGTTGTGAGCAGGCGTTCATTTCATCTTTTCTTATTATTTCTCATTATTTCTGCTTTTCATCTCATTACAAAATTCTGCGCATTTTTTCTCCATCAGCGCAAAAATCTAGACTGACAACCTGCTTGTTAAATCATGCATCTGCTTTCAGGTGTAAAACCCTGTTGTAGAGGTCTTATATAGTAGCCAGTGCAGGCTGTCGTA